TATTAAAATTTTTGGACTTTAACTTTCCACTCAACTGAAAACACTTGGCAGATAACCACTGAAGACTGAGGCCAAAGGAGAACATCTGGAAAGTGAAAAGCAATATATTACTGGATTTATGGCTAAATATCTCAATATAGTATGTTCATAAGGAGTCCTAAAATAGTAGACTAGAATCAAGGGGCATTACAGATGGACAGGAAGTGTCCTGCATTTACAGAATGTGGCTACTTCTTAAGCTGGCTGAAAAGTGCCAAGTTTTTCCGCCCRAATTCCTCACACACCTCCTGTCTGGCAGCGTGGGCGCCATGGGCCGCAACCTCACTCCTGTCTGAGACTGCTTGATGGCTCCAGGGTGACGCTCCTTGTGCGATTCCTGCAAGCTGAGAGTTAACCCCAAGAGACATGAACTGKTCAAGCGGTAGCAACTTGCTCCTGAAACATTTCATTACTGGAGGACCTTTGATTCGTGCCTATCATGTATTTGATAGGATAAAGGACATCACTTGGGAAAGGGAGCAGATGGGAATGGGCTGTGGCYGTTACCTATTCACCCAGCGTCCTCTCAGGAAACACATGGCACAGCTAATAACCCGCTGCCTGCAGAGCAGCGGTCAGTGTTCCCCATAACATATTGCAAATACAGGTGATCTGACAGATGGCAACTGCACAAGATCCTTAATTAAAATCTGCATGTAAAAAAACTCTACAAAACCATAAAGCTGGGATTTTTCTATGGTGCCTAAAGAAAGTTAAGCTTCAAAACCCAATGGGAAAAGAAGGTCAAACATCCCCCATACCTTTGGATGGGCAAACATCCCCCATACAGCCTGTTTGTCTGCCTCAGAAACAGCCTCTTTACTTAGCTGTGTAACAACCAAGGAGGAGGAAGCTGTTCCTGCTTATACAGCTAGTCCCTCTCTCACTGCAACAGCAGCTGTAATGTTGGCTTTGGCCAGAGTGGAAACAAGGAGTTATATTTGGCATCCAGAGATGATCTGCTGTTCACAGGGTCAGGGAGTTTGGAATCCAGAAGCTGTAACTCCCTCAAGTTACTCTCATGCTCTCGGGTTTATTTGAAAGAAGCTTGAGGTTTCCTGTGCATATATTTAACCAGATCCTTGGGAAAATCCTTGTTGTGCTATATTTAGGAGTCAGTGACCATAAATGACAAAAGTTAAAAACTAGGTAAAAGTTAAATCTGTAAACTCAGGCTTCAGACTCGATTATGAGTCTTTTTCTAACAACACACTGCCATCGTGTGGTGCAAATCATCAGCGACATGATGCCAAGCACATACTCTGATGCAAATTCCTGGCATGTTTTCACCAATCTTTTATAGCTTTAATTTCTATTGTTCTAGCAATGCACCGGCTTTCTGTTTCCATTGTATTTACAGAAGTAAAAATTTCTTCATTCAAAAAAAAGAAACAAAGAATACAATTCCCTTTTCAAAGCAGAAAAGCTTAAAAAATGTTCCATAACTTCTCTAAAATAAACTCTATTTTGATTGTTTTGTTTTAATATTGAACTTGTTCCAAGGCAGACCCTGCCAGCCCCTCTTCTCTTCTCTTCTCTTCTCTTCTCTTCTCTTCTCTTCTCTTCTCTTCTCTTCTCTTCTCTTCTCTTCTCTTCTCTTCTCTTCTCTTCTCTTCTCATTAATCCATAAGGAATGAGTCCTTGGAATAACTATATTATAACCCAGATTCATTTGAGACATCCTATGCATATTCATCCACACTGAATTTACCATTTCTGCTTATCACATTGTTCTTATTGGGGGGGGGAAAAAAATCCTTAAACATCCCAAAGGCTGTCTTGGCTCTCCCACGTGTTTAGCTAGAGGTCCCAGAGGGTCCCAGTGGGCCTCTTAAATTGTAGGGGAAAGGAGTCCTAACAATTCTTAGAGCACCCACCAACTGATCTTTCAGCAGCCAGCATGGTGAAACTGCCTAGTTTCCTCCAGACTTTTACAGAAAATATTGATGATGATGATGATGATGATGATAATAATAATAATAATAATAATAATAATAATAATAATAATAATAGTGAGCATAACATTCCCGTGGGGCCAGCTACTTCCTCCTCCTGAAACACACACGCAGAATCCTGGCCAATCCAATACTATGAAGCTGGCAAAGAGTCACTCCCTGTATTTTTTCCTTCTCTGGGATCTTGTTTTCAGTAGCTAATCCTGTTGGTAGAAAACCCAACAGCTTCACAGTGCTAAGTCAATGCTGGTGAGGACACTTAGTGTTACRTCACCTTATCTAGGATGCGGATGCTTCTTTTTCAGAATCTGGCTTWAACCTGGCGAGCTATCAGAGCAACTGCAAAGCGAACAATTCTGACAGGCTCCTTCAAAAAGCTTTYTCCAAATCTTAACCTCAAGGATGTCAGCATCTCCAAGGGACACTGAGCCAACTGCTTTCAAATAAACAACAATCTGCTTGGAGAAGAGGGCATTTAAATCTCACTGCAGTCATTTGCTATCACATGTCCACAGAGGCAAAAAAAGTCTTACTGCAGTCAAAAGTCATTAAAGGACTTACATTATATCCCGGAAGGCAGCAGTAAGTATTTTTGTGATCAAATGCTTACAGAAAACCTGCATGTTCTGCCTTTATATATTCAGCTTCTTTTAAATGTTATAGTCCAGGCATTAGCTGTCATACTGGGAGGACTGATATTTTGGAATATCCCAAAGGTTGTTGAGTACCTTATGCCACGTATAACCTGTTATTTCACTTTACGTTATCTTCTAAGAAAACACAGAATTTACAATAAGTAGGACTATAAGAAAGTCTTTCAAAGGGCCTCATCCTTCTCATCACCTTTCTTTGGCTGTTTCTGCATCACCTTCTGCATGCAATACACGTGGCTGGACGGAGTTTTCCAGAGGAGGGCGTGCTATTGCTTTGGATAATGACCTGGAACACTGGAGCTGAATCCAGTTATCTGCAGGGAGGGGATGGCAGGATCCAGGACACTGCACAGCCGTGGGAGAAGAGCAGTGCACGTACTGCTTGCATGGAACAGCAGGCAGACGATTAGCTGAGCTGAGACACCCTCTATGCACAGCATTTTGGGCAGGTCCGGGTGCTCAGGAGGGTTTCCCTTCAGTGCCCAGCCGAGCATCTCCACCCACCAGCTTTGCCCTTTCGGGTGCTCTGCCTCCGCTCACAGCCTCTTCCTTCCCCGGCTCCCGTCTCGCCCGGCACCACTGATTCACTTGGCAGCCAACTACCTGCTGGTCCCCAAACCTGCCCGAAGAAGCTGACCCAAAGATTTCCTCAGATTTGGGAGCCTTTTATCACTTCAGCCATAAGACAGCAGCGTAAGCTCATTATATGAGCTGCTAAATGTCACTTGCCTCTAAGAATTTAGGCTAATTTACTACAAATCCATGTTTGCTGGGGAACCTGAGCCAAGTTTTACGTGGGAACAGGGAACGGTTCCCATCTCCTTTACTGAAAGGAATATTCAAAATTGGACAGAAGGTAATCATGGCATCACTAAAAACAGCTCTTTTGTAAACAGATAMTGAAATGAAAAAGCAAATGCATCCCCACACTTTATGATCCTTTAAAGATAATCAAACAAAATAAAAATCTTGCCAGAGGATTTGGAACATTTTTTCTAAGAGAAATGCCTGCAGACTCTGCACCTTCTGAAGAAGCTAGAAAATTCACTTTATTAATTCTGTGTCTGAGGAAACCCTTAGTAAATCATCCAAGAAAGAAATCCTCCTGCCAAAGAAAAGTTCTCTTTTAAACCACACATTTTATTGAAGGAGTTGTTTTATCAAGTTCAGCATCTTTGATACAATCAAACAGTATTTTTAAAAGGGAAAAAAACTTGCCATAAAAAAATATTTTACTGCTGGGAAGAACAGTGTTTGTTTGAAATGGAAGAAAACAATTTCAAATCACTCATCAATTAAGATAAAATTTTGCAGGAAGTGTTTCAAGAAAATTATAATCCATATGGACATTTCAATATTTCAAGTATGAACATCATTTGTTATATAACAAATTTGTTATATTATTTGGAGCTCAGTGAATTTTTTTTTTTTTAATTCTATCACATTTTAGTTAACATTTTACTTCATTTAGTATGTATTTTATTTTATGACAGCTTGAGGAATAAGTATTTTCTGGGATAATGTTTACATTCTTTATTACTTCTGCACTGTATTACTGAAGTCAGTGAACACTTCACCATTGCCTCTGAGTACGAATTAAATTTTACAGCTCTAGTCACAAAGAAGGATCTCAGATCRTCTTGATGAAAGACGGGCATTTTGAATGAATTGCTAAACATGAGTTTTGACAACTTCTGGTCAAATGATTAACTTGAGGCAGTTATCAAAAGAGTAGACAGTATCACATTCAGCTGCCCTAGAGATACACAGTTCTGCATTTTCAAGGGTTTTTAAACATGTATTTCCTGTCTTAATCTTTGAAATGTTACTGTGCACTGTTAAATAGTCATGACATCTTCTTCCAGAAGACTTGCATTTCAGCAGTGGGGATACTGATGTCGCGTCTGAAACGCTGTTTGCAAAGTGCATTGGCTTCCCTTCAGACGGAATACACCACGGATTTAAGATGATCGACTTGACTGATATTTCACACGATAGAGCCAGGATATTCTATTTTACGTGGCCAATGAAAAATCATCCTCCTTTCTACAACATTCAGCCGGTTCAGCAATTTTTCTCTCGACGGGAGACAAAATGTTAGGTTACAGAACCCTTAAAAATTCCCTGCTGGATCTCACCGAATCTGCAAGTCCCACCCCGCGGGGAATGCCACTTTCCAGCAGTCCCTGCACATTCCCTGAAAGAGTTCAAATTCCTTACACCAATTGAACGCATTTCTCATCTCATTTGAATGGCAGACTGAATGGAGACACTTGAGAGTTCTTGGTTGCAGACATTCTAATTGATCTCTTGGCTGCAGTATACTGTAATTTGTATGGAAATATGCATTTCTCTGTGGAGGCTGTCCTGCAGTGGACTAAGCATAGTCATGTCACCTAACAAGAGCACTTTATGAACCATAATTTTCTCCGTTCAAATTATATCTCTCAACTTAGGAGGTACATGAAGAACCTTTCCACATGCACACACACAGGAGAGAACCTGTCAAAACACATAGCTTTGATAACATTGACTCAAAACCTGAACACTTAACGAGTTCTTTATGAAATAAAAGAGAAAGAGGCTAAAAATCTTGTTTTCCTAGGCTGGTGTGGTTTCCATACTATCTGTAAAGCAAATTTAGCCATGAAGTTTACAGTGGAAATCTCATTAGGCTGGTAAGTTATGCAGGCAGAAAGAGACTTCTAAGGCTTGTTCTGCAAAAAGGGAGAACTGGCAGCACACAAAGCACTTCCCTTCCCACTGCCTGTGCTGTGGGATCTGGTGAATCCCCAGCTGTGCTATAAAGCAAGACCTGTCAAGTCTCATGCACTGACTCATTCTATTGTATCACACTCCGTCACTGCCARCACTGCACATTTTTACAGGGCAGTGCCACGGCTTCTCTCCCACTTTTGGATCCCACACACGAGACGCAGGTGGTCAGTCTGACGTGTAGTGATTGTCTGACCAGCTGCAGCCACGTGAGGGTCAAGGAGCAGAAGGGAGGTCATGATTCTGCTCTGCAGCTGGGCAGGGTGCTGCTTAGCAGGGCCTGTGCTGAGCAGAGCCCTGCTAAAGGCCTGTTCCCCTCCTAGGACCTGTGCTGCACACCCTCAGCTTGAATACATGCTTGTCACCTAACACTGCACAGAAACATGGAATCATCTCWCATGTCTGAACAACAGGGAATTAAGAAGCCTGTATTATAGGTTTAGCTTTCTTATATATGCAAGAGAAAGCAATAGGATGAGATCCTAGAAATCAGGCTGATATTTCCTCAAAAAGGTGAGGGGTTGACCTCACCCTCTCCCTTAGCCTGTTATTGGTCAGTTTGGCCACAGATAAAAACACCTGGATTCTGGTTTACAATAAGGACAAAAAGGAAGCATCTACAGTGACGGTAACACTTGTGAGCTGAGTCATGCCTACTGTGGAGGGTTTTTTGGCAATCAAAAATYGCATTTTATAAATACATGTTTGCATGCAGTTACTTCAAATGGAAGATGAGGCTTTCATAGCTGAGGTTTGAAATGTCATCKGCACAAAAAAGCACTGTAAACATATCAGCTGCTCACAATGGAAAAGGCCAGTGACTGTCATAAAAGCCTTAAGGCTGCAATTATTTATCAATTCTGATTTTCTAGATTCTTGCATGTTACATTTGCTCTCCATCTTCATTTTTCCCCTTGAATTTCACTGATAGTCATGTTAACACTTTTGGTTATTCTTAACATTTCTTTCTCTTTTCACCACATTTAGAACTACAGTAAAACAGACCAAGAGCTGAGAAATACCTTTGTGCAGAGAGTCTCCACAGGGCCCTGTGGGTTTGTTTTGTTTTGTTTTTACTCCACACTACTGGATGCAGCAGGATTCCACTGATACACATAATCTTTTTGAGGAGTCCTGTAAAATGGCAAATAATACTCACATAAACAAAGGCAGAATAAATTAGCACATTTTTACAATTTTCCTCATAAATATAGCTCCAAAAGGCCAGTAAAATAAGGGTGAGAAAAAAAAATGTACAGCATGTTCCTTTACAAGAGGATCTTACAGTGTATTTGATAAAACTCCCTGTGGCAGAATCTCCATTCACAACCACAATTTGTTTATTACATCTGTTGGAATACAGACACATGTTCTTTAGGGCATTAACTACTTTATCTTTTGCCACATGTGAAAACCATAGTTCTTAAATGGAAGGGGTATTTCTGATCATAAAACCTTGTCTCTGAGTATTCCTATTCCATTGCTTAGGTCTCTGTCAGTCATACACAACTGTATTTATTCCTTATGAGCTGTTTCCTAAAATATCTCCTATGCCAGAAAATCTTATTTGTTCATTTTTTAAAATTTCATCACATTTTGAGATGCAAACACAAAAAAGTAAGGAACAATATGTAGTCCACTCAAATATAATTAACATAAAAAAATGCAATTTTGTATGTGACTGGATAAATCTCAAGCAGACAGCCCTTTTTTTACACAAAATGTAAGTCTTTACAAAATCCATCATTTACAATATTCAGCACTGTCACTGTGCCAGAAATCAAAAATGAAAAAAAAAAAGCAGGATGTTTTAAGAATTCACAGTACTTTTCAAAGACAGGTGGGTACCAATATTCCTTCTCTCTCTTTTTTTTTGAGCAAGAAAACCATATGAGAATTCAGAGAATTCACAAATTGCCACCATGTCTGAGCTTCAAAAGCAGYCTACTGACCATAGAGTTCTGCAGAACAGAATGTGCATCTGCTTTCTCAAGTATTTTTTTCCTTAGATGCAGAAGTTTCAACAACTGCCTTAGGCCTCTATTTCTGATTAAAGCAGAATAAATATTATCTTCCACAGATTTTGTTCATCTTTTCTTATTGTCTATAGTCAAATGAAGGAAAAAATACTCAAATCCCGCTGTACAGACACCAGGTCTGAATCACTTGTTAGCAGTTTCCCCCACAGAACAGTTTTCCTGGCCCTGTGATTTCTTGATTTTAGTTGTTACAGTCAGACACAACATTCCATGTGGTGTGTTTAGAACAACGTAAACACCTTTGCACTTGCTACCACCAGCTACCAACAGCTTTTGCTACTGTTATTTCACTAACCCCTAAGTTCTGTTTTCAGACTCCAAGCTGGTTGTGTTGGTGAACTCTCAGGCTGCACCTAAACCCTGCACTTCAGGGGCTGCAGCAAATGAAACCAGAGAGGAACTAGTTTGGCATAGTGGTTCTACTTAGTTAGAAAACCCCACGGTTAAACCAGCACCACATCGCAACAGCAATAAAAGCTACTTAGCCTTACTTTGCTTCTGAATTTTCCAGTTTATTTTTAAAGAGCAGATAATCCCMATTACCTTCCCATCATAACAAAGGATTCAGGGATTACATTTCTGCCTTGACAACTTATAATTTATGTTGTTTGGCTATACAGATATTCACTTGGGTAAAAAGTTTTATTCTTGAAATCTAGTTTTATTTCAGCATTTATTTGGTTGCATTCTGCTCTTGAATGCAAAACAACTGGACAAGAGGAAAAAAAGGAGGGGGAAGATGCTCCAACAGCCAAGATTAACCAGAGGAAGAGGCTGTAAACGTCTCCTCGTGGCAGGTTTGCAGCTTCACGTTCTGTTGCTGTTGATCCCTTAACAACATCTAGAAGTAGACAGAGGGCAGGGAAATGAAAAGCAAAAATGCACAGGTGGCTCTTTATTTAGCTTTGCCTCTAGCCTCCTCTTATTGTTTTCCCCCACTCTGCCAAAATAAGGAAAGAAAAGCCACATCGGATGACTCAAATTTAGACTTATTTCCATTTAAAAAGAAGATTCACTTTTTTTATTTTTACTTTTTTTTTTTATTTTAATACTGTAAAGAGTGAATACTCAACCAACCAACTGTGTTTAGGTTACCCTGAGTGTTTSAGAGAGAAATTTGTTAAAGATACAAAATAACATAACAGACAATGGAAACGCCTGCTCCCCAGCCATTTCTGCTGAAAGCTACTTTGTGTATGTTCCTATGCAACAAAAATTAAGTTTATGTGTAGGTGTTCCATGTTTTTACAAACTCTACGCTCCTTAGTTGTTATAAGATTAAAACAATTTTCTCCCTCAGTAAATGCTTCCCTTGAAAACCACTGGAAGCACATAATTCATCTGTCCATTTATAGCTTCTATTTTCTTCTAGGCATTGAGAAACTGCTGATTGTGATTGTTGTTTTCCCTTTTAAGAAGCCAATGTTGAACAAGTGACAGATAAGACAATTTAATGTTTCAGTGATCACACAGATCAATTTTTCATTTATTCTGAAGTTTAAAAGAAAAAATAGATAGGCAACCAATGTACGATAGCAGGGATTTTGTTTAGTAAATTATTCTTCTATACTCAGAAAATTTAACAGTCACACTCATTAAACCTGCAGGGAGTTTTAAGGTAGCTTTAGTTCTAATATTTTTCAAAAAATGCATTCAAAGATTTTTCCCCTGAATCATTTTCTTCTCTATGGAATCTATCAGAAAGGTTTGGAGATACAGTACTAGTCTTTAGCTGTAAATAATAGAAGAAAGAAGAAAGAAAAGAAACATATTACTAAAAACCACAGAAGATCTCAATAAAAAGATAGCAAAGTGAAAAGGGAACATTGTGTAGTTTTTGTGTTGGGTACAAAAATAGAAAAGCTACCCACATTTGGGAAGGTGCCCATACGGAGCTGGACAACTGACCAGCTTTTCCATCTACTGCTTTTCTTCCTATTTGTTTCCTCTGTAGCTACTCTGCACACAAGAGATTCTCCTGCAGAAGGGAGAGGCCTAAGGTATCTGGCAGGGGTGTGCTCAGGAAGATGAAGGACTAAACACACCCAGGTCAGAGTCTCCCTCTCTCCATTTATTTCCAAGGAAACTAAATTTAAATGTCCTGACTGTTCACGACAGTACCTAATTCTGTCAGCAAATAAGGGGGCACTCACAATGCCAGCAGTAAGTTCTAGTATCATTAAGTTTCMGTGTTATCAATCCACTGAATACATGCAAGAAAATTAAAACTTACCCCAGAAGTAATTGTACAGAAGCCCTAGAAATACTTTTTTGTTATATGTACAGTTATTATTATCTTTATAATTTTAAGCAGTTAGGAATCACTAATAAATAAATAAATACATATACACATAGATAAAGATTCAGAAACAATTACAAGAGGTCAGTCTAGAAAAAAAAAAAGGCCCATTCCCTTTTTTATTTTTACTCCTTTCAAATATAACAAGAATTCTACCCCATATAGCAAGAAATTCCGATTTTGGTTCTTTTACTTCACTCCCATTATGAGTCTTTTGACCAAATACTGCTCATTTTGCTGATGTGCAGTAGAACTAATTACAAGATTTTTCATTGGGTTAACTGCTAGTGTCCTGTCTAAAAACAATCTTAAATCATATTTAATAAACTTAAAACATATTAATGAGTATGTTTCTGTGTAAGCTTTTCCACTAAAACATAATTACACCACTGCCAATAACCAATTAATAACTTTTGGCTCTGGTAAATACTAAAAAGCAGAGTTTATTGCCTCCTATGCCACTCCTGACCACATTATCACTAATCAATTGCTACCAAAGTTAAATAATTTTAGCAGATACTAATCATATTGGACCTTGGTCTATTGTTTTCAGGTGGAATATGCTCTTTCCTCAACAACCCACCCCTAAAGTTTACATGAAGCTTAATAGAGCACTCTTGCTTTTTATTCTTATCCTCCCAGATACTCAAGATTAGGGTAGGAATATTATAGACTGATTATTACAGATTTTCCCCTATTAGGTTCCTTTTTTCAATACAATGGATGGTTTTGTGGGCTTGAAAGGTTTCAGCCTGCTTCATGTGGGCACTGAGACTTCAACATATGGCCAAATTCAGAGAAGGCAAAGCATTCTGTATAAATGTGAAATTWAGTCATCTACAGTTGCAAATTAGAGTCTGTCATGGTGCATAAACATAGTTGAAGTGAAGGAATGCAAAACCACAGATCATACAACTGTTTTAATTCTTTGCAAACTCTTCTCAACAATTAGACTATGACCTAGCCATACCTTTTAAGGATCTCTTTACAAAGCCAGCTCTAGACTCAGCTGTCAATATAATTGTTTCAGTATTAACAGGTACTTCATTAGTGCCTGCTTTTTACGAGCACATGGTTAGTATGTAAAATGAGATTCAGAATCTGGCCCCAAAACAGACCTGCAGATGAGCAAAGACCTTTTGGGACAGAAACAATCTGACTTTGCCACAACATCAGACTTACAGAGGCAAGGAGAATTCCAGAAGTTTAACTCCATGACAGTTTATATCTGACCTATCCCAACAGCATGTCATCTGCCTAAGTGTTTTATGAAGCCATTGCGCATGGTGATGGAATGAAGTACCAAGGAGAAACAAGCTGATAAATTGGTTTGACTAATCATTAAAACCCACCCAGTAGGATCATTTTATCTGATCTCRTTTACGTCATTCCCTGAAGCTGCCACAAGAGCTCAGGGACAGGTTCATCTTCCACTTACATCACAAGGACCAAGCAGATGTTTATCCGCTGTTTAGCCGATGATGTTTGTCTGAACTGGTACCTGAGCATTCTTGCATTGGTKTGTAGTTATTCCCTGTCATTTTAAAGCTTCCATCTGGAGGACACAAGTGTGTTCTGCTTGTGACTTCTTCAGATCTCATAATACTGTATTTAGCTTCAACAAATGGACTCTACTGATCTGAGATAGAAATGAAAAACTGAAAAAAAAAGAAATATATATAGAGGATCATTAAGGCCTCGGATCATTGCTAACTGCAGGTCAGTGGGTCTATCGCCACTGGCTTCACGGGTCATTGCCCAGGCCACACAGTTTGTTCCTGCCCTAAACTGCAAAA